TGTCTGTCTGTCTGTTCGTCTGTCTGTCTCTTTATCTGACTCTCTCTATGGGTCTATCTGTCTATAATCAATCTATCCATCTGCCCGTCTATCTATCTATCCATCTCCCTATATATCCATCTATCTGCTTGTCTCTCTGTCGGTCGGTCTGTCGGTCTGTCTACCAGTCTACCTATCTATCTGTCTACCTATCCATCTTACTATCTATCTATCTATCTATCTGTCTATCTATCTATCTATCTATCTGTCTTTCTATCTATATATCTATCGAGCTTTCCATCTATCTAATGCGAGATGCATCCAGTACGGCCGCAAGATGGCAAACCATATAATGTGGGCATTCAGATAGCATCAGCTGTGTGCAGACCTCCCAGAAGAAGATGCCGCAGATGCGGAGGCCTCGTGACTGTCAAGCTTGGCGTTTGCAATCCCTTTTTCATTTTTCGTTTTGCAGAAGTCATCAGGGTTTGCCATTTAACCGCAGGCTGGCGAAGTTGCAGCCAACGCCAGTGGCATCCCTGAAGTCTGGACGGTGCGGGACATTGGTCCTGCAGCAGTGGAACAGCTCAGGACCGCCGGGATCGAGGGGTCGCTTGGACTGACAAGAGTTCTGATGGCGCCCAGGATGCTCCTTAGGCGAAGCCGTGGTGCAATCTGGAATGGAGCCTTGGGCTGCCACGAGGCTGCGCCCTGCCGATTCGGTGAATCACTCATTTCTGTACTGGCCAGGATGCACGCTGGCAGAAGGGCACCCAAGAGCTGATCAACCTGATCGAGGGTCGCTTAACCGGCGCCGGCGAGGACCAAACTCGCATGTTCAGCTGAAAAGTGATTTTTGCGGTAAGATTTTTTCGCAGTACGCGAAGACCAGCTGTGCCATTTCAGGCTGAGGAGGAAGAAGATGAAGACGAAGAGGACGAAGAGGAAGACGAGGAAGGCAGATATCCGCAGATAATTCTGCTTGCATGGCTTTTCTGATGACTTCGAGCTGCCCATTAGGTGACGATTACGGCGATGAGGATGGAGAAGCAAAGCCAAGGCAAGTGACAGAAGTGACCAGTTAGGTAACATCCTTGAGCTGTCCCAGCGGTGAGAGACAGGTTGCCCTTAAGGCAAGACGAAGTCTGCTTTCAAGATAGTTTTGCTCCGCGACCACAGGTTTGCTACACACCGTTCTACTGCCAAGCTAACGGTGTTGCAGTGTTTTGATAGAACTGTGCATGCTTGCAGCAACGCTGGCGGTGGGCTAGAAGGGTTCTGCTAGTCTGCTAGACCATCGGTCATGGCATTACGACATGGACTTGGGGAGATGTGCTGATCTGTAATGAGGAAAGAACCGAAGCTACAAAAAGAACGCCCAGCGGAATTTGAGGTAGCTGCCGTCCTTGGCCTCTTGGCAGTCCATTCAATGCGATTCTTTTTAAGAAAGCATGACAGTGGTCACATGTGGTCACATAGCCATACGCAGCTCAGGTCGTGACAGTTCCCGGCTTCTCTCGGAGATCGCGGAAAATCCAGCACTTGTTTGCAGCTGAGAATCCAGAGCCAAGTGGCAGTTTCTCTACAGGGGCGTTGCATCGCACTTATATTTCATGCGCATGTCAAGGTTTCGTTCGTCTCGAACACGGGCGAGGACACGGAACCCCGTGTTCTGCTGTAATGCAGCCGCACAGTGTTCTACCATGCAATCCATCATTGCATCGTGCTGCGGAAATTGAGTTACTTCTGTGTGTGACTATCGCTCCCTTTCCCGGCAGGGTTTTCTTCGCATCCTCCGCGGTGCACCATCGCAACGAGCCCAGCACATACTACATTGATACCATCATGCTTTACACCTGGTTCACGTAACTTGCAGAATCTTGCAGACCCTTGATTGTCTTGATATGTCTTGATCAGATCTGTGAGTGGGGGTACTCCTGGCCAAGGCCTGTGTCACCACAGAAGGCGCAGGCAAGCTTGTAGCTCCACGACGGTGCAGACCAGTGCATGCAATTTAGAGTTTCACTTCTGGATCCTGATTGCGGCATTGGCAAAGCCAGCGTGCAGTAGGGATGTTGTCGATGGGTGTCTGGTTCTTGACGAGTTTGTCCTTAGTCATGTCATGATCGTGTCACGTCGGATCGATGCTTCCTCTTAGCCGGCGTCATGGAGAAAGCTCTGACCCGGCCAGGTTGCATCTAAGCATCACGCAGTCACAGTCAGCAAAGGGCATCGTCGCACAATTTGTACTCAACTTGCTAGTTGACTACTGAGAGGAGTCTCACCAGAAGTGCCCATCGCCACCAGAGGAGTAACAAATTGCAAACCTCTTGTTCAAACTTGCCACATGTTTCCGTGGAGTCTGAGACTTGGATGTCGGGATTTGCAGCCAACACGGCCTGAGCCCAATGAACGTAGCTTCTCACGGGCGAATGCGTCGCAACACTAATGTCTACGCAAGACTTGTGACGTTGCAGAGCTGAGCCGCAAGCATCAAATCGTAGCACTTCAGCAGTTGGCAAAGGCTAATTAAGTCACGGACTGGTAGCTGCTCTATGAAAGGAACATAGCATAGTTGGTACATAAAGTCGCTAAGTTGGCATCAGCAAGCCTTGATGGCCAGCAGCTAGGAAATGCTAGGGCGAAATGCGGTGCTCTTCATCGCTTTGCAGCCACTTGTCTACGCAAACTGTAGCTGCGAACAGTGACGCAGTACCGTCCTGACACGATCAGCGAGGTTTGGCTCTCGATTTGCAAACTCCTTCCTGGTTACCGCGACCAGCCTGAATTTGGCGGCTGCTTCGATGTGCTAAGAGCGGGCTTCTAAGGCTGCCAGGTATGAGTTGCTCGAGGCATGGCCCCGCTTGTGCGAGTCCTGCCAGGGGAGTCTGGGGGGTTCCGAAGGGACCAGGCATGATCCGGTGCTTCTGTCAGTCGCCAGGGTTTGCGCCAGGCGGGTGGCGTCATGCAGTTTGCTGGAGCGCAAGTGGCAACAAGCCTGGCTCGCATGGTTGCTCGGACCTCAGGACGAGCCATCCGCATCCGCATCTCCATGTCACATCACAAAATTGGAGGTGTCGCAGATCGCGGGCCTTCTGACGGACAACTTTGCCCTGAAGAAAATGTACGTCGCGACGGAGGCAGCCCAGATTCCTAAAAGCATCTTCGAGCGCCATACGGAGACTCAGCGAAGCAACGCAGTCAGGCATGCAACTTGGCTCAGACCTCAGCGTGAGCGTTTCAGTGTTTCAGGGGAAGCATCGCGAGCACAAGCGCTGCAGGTCCTGGCTCTAGCGATGCTCGTATGTGGCCATGCATCTGGCAGCGTGCTCTTCATTCTGAACATAGGCCCTGTGACTTGTGACAGGCTGTCATGCCCGGTGCTGCGGAGTAGCTGCCGTTCAGGCCTGGGTTTGCTCTACTCCTTCTCACAGCCGGTGACCAAATCCATGCCGCCGGCGGTAACTCCGTCGCGTGAGGACTGGCGGTTTTTCCTGTCTGGCATTGCATTGTCATTCCGGCTTCTGGCCAGGATCTTGCTGTCATCAATGGCTGGGATCTGACTTGTGACAAGGCCGAGTCTATGCAGATCCTGAATGATGTGTAGCTACGTGAGCAGCAGCAAAGTCTAGGTTAGTGCCAGGTGGGCCGCTATTTGGCACCATTTGCCTATGCCATGGCTTCTTCCAGCCATGGGTTTGACTTTGCAGTGCTCCTCAGCTGCTGCCCAAGCGCTTGAGCAAGCAAAGCCGCCTCCCTCATGACTCGCACTTGCGAAGCCAAGGTTGCTTCCTGTACGGCGTATTGGCCGTGCTGCGAACATGCGTTGTCGTTGCGGGCTCAACAAAAAGGAATTAAGCTGCGCATGCAGCGTTTCTGGATAAACTCGGCCTGGCCAGGTGGTTGAGCCCCCGCGAGAACCCTCCAAAATGGGCTCCAAAGCAACTGCCGGCGGCTTGAAAGATCCTGCGAAAGGGGCAGCGGCAGCGGCAGGGCTGCAAAGCATGTGGCTCCGAAGGTTCGCGAGAAGTTGGGACGTCTTTTCCAACAGGCCCGTCCGAATGTGCACATTTAGCCGTGGTTAACACAATGTCACTATGTCACTATGCATGCGGATGCATGCCGCGCACTTCGACGGCAGGTCGCAGATGGCGTCATGTCACTGCGGCGGGACTCTGTGTTGCGACTTCTCATTCTGAACACACTAGCTGCCTCGATGCATGAAGCTGCGATGCGTGCAGCAATTTATACCTGTTGCGGCTTGCCACCGAACTGCTTTGGTTTGTGAGGTGACGAACGTGCCGGGCTTGGGCTTAGACTTCGAGTCGCATGTTGGGAAACCACGCTTATTCGTGACTCCTCAGGTTTTCCTATATCCTTTGAATTCTGTACATTTTCCGGTGCTCTTCAAGCGGCAGCACTGGCTTGGCTTTTCTGCTCCGCGAGTGTCCTGACAGTTCATGTAGCTGTTGCAAGTTGCAGGGTCGCCGAAGCCGGAGGAGAACATTCTGCCTGCGCCACAGCTGGACATGCCCGGACCGGACCCACAGAACCCAAGTAGTGCAGGAAGCAAGTGCCCCGGACGAAAGGCGGTGGACGGCTTGCTGCAGGGAGCCATGAGCTTCCTGAACATCAAGAAGTACTCCTGACACATTTCGTTTCAAAGCAGAGCTTCGTGTAACACAGACTCGCTTTAGTAGTATCTCAGCACAAGTGCTTCGCCACCTCTGGCTCATGCCTGGCAAAGACCGACAGGAAGGACATGTGGAGGAACTACAGCGCGTTGGTTTCTCTCGGTGGTGTTGCCTGGGTCTTAGTGCGTTTTGAGAATTCTTGCTTTGAGGTTATCATGTCCTGATGCAGGTGGGTCCTTTCCTGTCAAACGCTCTGTCTGCCTCTGAGCTTTTAACACAGAGGAGCAAAGAAGCTGGCGGGAGGGCCACGCACTGCCAGGATCTACCTCTTGGAGTCCTACTCCACCAGCCACAAGTCGTGCAGACTCTGGGTGTGGAGCCGAGCGGGGAGCGGGTTTTCTCAAGAGCTGACACGTGCTAACGGCTGACCTTCAGGTCGGGATCAACTTCGGCCTTGCTGGGCAAGTCGCCACGATGGCTCTCCTGGCCTTGATGCTGTCGGGCTCCCGAAAAAGAGACCAGCCCAGGTCCAGGCAACATGCGTGCATGTCTCAGGTCTTTCAGTGGAAGCCTGGGTACCGGTTTGCTGGTTTTCAACCTCGCCGGCTGCCTGATTGATCTTGCACGACGCTTCTAGACATGCGGCTCCGTCACGCAAAGCGAACAGGAATGCCGTAATATGACTCGACATACGTAGTGTAAACACTATTCCAGAGCAACTCTTTTGCGGCTTAGGTGAGCGCATGGGTTGTCACCATCTCTGTCAACAACATCGCCATCATCCAAGCAGTTGAGTTGCAAGCTCTGCAGAAGTCTGCACAAATCACTACCTGCAAAGAAACGAGGTCACCACATACTTCAACTCGATCTCGCAAGAGCGGCTGCAGCAAAACGAGCGGGGCCGTTTCATTGCCGGTGTCCCAGAGGGCAGAGATCCTGCAAAGCGACCTGCCTAGCTCAAGGGTGGGCATGCAACAGTGCCCAGGCGAACATCATGACAGTTTTCACGCTGGGAAGTTCTCTCGGTACACTCATCTTTGGATGGGCAAAGACCTGAGACGCACAAGCCAAAGGCGCCTAAACCAACTTCGTGCAGGACTCCCATGCGTGTCTGCTCATGACGAGCTGTCCATAAGGTTCTGTCTGCAACAGCAGATGACGTGACAGGGTCAGCACGGTGCTAAGACACAGCAGGGCGCACGACAGGTTTCCCGAGGTGTCTCTTGTGCTCAAAGCGCAGTGACTGATGCGGGATATGAATCAGAAGGCGGTTACAAGACGTGAGCAGCCTGACCTGACCTGGAGCTCGCACCAGGTAAACCTGCTCTTTTGCGGTTTGCTGATAAAGATGGTCTTGCTGGTGGGCTGCCCGGCTTCGGGTGTTTGTTCTCATTGAACAGGAAAATCAGATTGCAACAAACCTCTGTCCTTGCCAGGTGCTCCTGCGGAGGGCAGGACAAGGTTCTTTTTCAGGCACCTGGGATGCTCCTCCTGCATGCTTGGCACTGTTCTGGGCGATGCTGACTTCCTTGATTGATGCTGCCCGGCAACGTTGGAACCGTTTTGCCCACGAATCTCTAGCAATCAGGCTTGTTGCACGGGACATCATGGGATCCCTTTCCCTCCCATTGTGAGTATTCTTTGAACATCGTCTTGAAGGGTGCATGGACTCAGAAGTCTTGCGCTCGAAGCAGTCCCGTGCCGAACCGGTGCGGGGCTTGTACTTGCTGCAGAACTGCTCTGACATGAAGTGCGATGCAGGATCAGTCCGCCCACATGCTGAGTGACGTGGCATGAGCAGTGAGCAACTGGAAAGCAGCGAACGAGCCCAAGGTGCGATGATCATGAATAAAAGCCGGTTCATCTTCTTTCCTGAAGCTGCTGTCCAAGGTGAAGGTGAGGTACTACCGTTGGAAAACTATCCAAGCAGAGGTTGCGCAACCTCTCAGGTTGTCGGTGCTTGGCATGGCATGCAGAGTCCAAGCCAAAGATTCGCCAGACTCGCTTTAACATGCAAAAGCCATGTGCCGCAGATGCCAATTGGCCGCTTCATTCGCCTTGAGAGCACAAGTTTGTATCTGCTTGCTGCCCCCTTGGCCCAAGTTCAAGCAGCATGCCACCCCAGACGCAACTACGAGTGGGGGCTTCATGTCTTGATAGGACTCATGCAGTGAACAAATGAACATGTGACAAAGCGTCAAGACCTCCAGCCACTGCCATTCCTCAACAGTCTAGCCTAGCCGCTAGCCACAGTTGTGCCCGTTGAAGACTGGTTGCGGTTCCCGTGCCAGCATGGCAGGGTACTGAGCACCTTAAAAACACTAAACATATTGGGAAGAAATATTTTTTCCTTATAATATGTTTAGCACTTCCGAGACTCCAAGGCCCCCTTTGTCTGTCACTGGAGGCAACCCCCTCGGCGAACTCGCGGAAGCGAAAGGCCGATGAGGAGCTGAAGAGTCTCACGCTTCGTTGCCTCCTGTGGCCGGAAATCCGTGGGGCGGACTGTGGGCTCTTCAAGCTTGGCATTGTTGAGGAAATCAGTCCTACATTATACATTGTTGCAGTCTTTATCAGGAACAATGAAGAGCAAAAAACGGAAGCGCCGAAAAGTTAAGTCGTTGATGCCACCCCATCTGTTCGTTTGGATGTGCTTCAGCTTCTGATTGCCGACAAGGAGCCACCAGAGCTGCAGCGCTGACCTCAAGCACGTAAACGGGAGACCCTACTTAGGGATCGTTAAATTACAACAAAGATCCCTTGAATGTGGTGTTTATGTCATGGTCCGGTGCTTTTTGTGAGACTCCCAAATGTTACAAAAGACTGCTTCACACCCGACGTGCCTGGCACCTTAGGACCCGGACGTATACCGCGCAGCGAGTGTTGGGCAAAGGATCCTTCGGCGTGGTGTACCAGGCAAACTTCGGACATCTGCCAATTGCCGGTTCCACCACGACTGGTAGCCTCAAGATTTTGTGATGCTGCGTCTGATCATGCTAGTTTCGACTGTGCAAGCTAAAATCAGGCTATGTATCTGGATTCAGGCAACATGAAAGCTTGTCAGCTTTGTCGACAAGCCAAGCTGCTAAGCTACAAGTTCACATTAAAGCGGCTGTCATTCAAGCTTGGGTTGGTTGACTTGCCTAAACACCATGGCCTACGGGTACTAACCCTTAACAGCTGTCGTAGCCATGTCGAGCACGGTCAGCCTTTTGGGTTTTGAGCTATTTTCCAACCGCCATAACCTGGGCCAGAGTATAATAACACGCTAAGTGCTAGTACCGTTGTGCTGCAACCCTGTCGATGCAGGCGCAGGTTCTCGAAACCGGGGAGACGGCCGCCCAACCATGTCGTGTCATTCCCACGGCTAGACCGCACGAGTAAATTGTGCCAGGTCGCCATAAAGTCGATCCGTATGCAGGACAAGGATCGGGAGGCTATCCGTGCACAGGATTTTGTTGCGGCCAGTGCGTGGCAAACTGATCGAGCAGGTCCAGATTCTGAAGGAGCTGGACGGGCACCCGAACATCGTGACTTTGCCGGCTGCCCAAGTCGAAAGAGCCATGCAGAGTCGCCACCTGCCGCTTTGGCTGAGTATGTTTGACTGCAGGCACGGTGCATTCCTCAGCGACGAGGGCACCGCGACGAACGGTGGCACCAGGCACGGCCTCTGCCTTTTCCAAGCCAACTCCACCCAAATACGAGCGGACGAGAAGACAGAGATGCCTGTGAGAAGCGTGCCATCGACGATTCGTTCGCGCAGGCTCAATCTGGTGCTGGAGTATCTTTCTGACACGCTGCACCGAGCGTGAAGCCGAGCAATCTCACCGATCTGCACGGGTACTGAAACGCTGGTGCTGTTTTGCTGTTCGTTGAACAGGTGATCAAGCACTACAACACGACAAACAACAAGATGGCCGGTAGCACAGCTTGCTAGGAAGTTGTCCACTTGCTACCTGCGGGGAATTGGCCCAACCTGAAAACTTCAGGGTGAATGGGCGTGGCGTTAGAGAAGTGTCGGTGTGGCTTTCTGCCAACCAGAGTTTCGAAAGGTTGGACAGCGAACCCCCCTGGTGACAGCAGTAAGTTCGAAGGCGCTGTGGCGGTTTGTCTCAGGACGCTTTCTACGTGAAGCTGTACCAGTTTCAGCTCATGCGAGGCAGGTTTCTGGTTGAAATCCAGGAGCCTTTCAGACAAGCCACAGCTCTTTTCGGAAGCCCAGCCGGGATGAGGAGTCGGAGTGCAGTCTTTTGGGATCTCGCATGCAGGCCTTGCCTTCGTCCATGGTCGTGGTATCGCACATTGCGACTTGAAGCCGCCAGAAGCCCATCCTTCAAAGTCGCAAGGCTCGGGCCCGGCGGAGTTGCACCTGAGGCAGAACCTGCTGCTGGATGGCAAATCGCAGACCCTAAAGATCTGCGATTTCGGCACCGCGAAGCGCATGGTTTTCGGGGAACAGCGCCTGCCTTTCTTCACTCTTTTGTTGGCTGCAGATTCCCATGTAGGGCAGAATGTGTGCAACTCCGACCTTCTGAACTTAAGGGGGCGAGCTTATATGGTCTCTCGGTACTACCGTGCTCCCGAGTTGATTCTGGGAGTCGGGGGCTCGAGGTGGTCTGAAGGTAGCAGACAGGTAAGCATCGGTCATGAGCTGCGCCAATTCACATGACTCCGAAAGCTGCCGGAATCCCAGGCCACCCAGTTCAGCACAAGCGTGGACCTCTGGTCTGCGGGATGCGTGTTTAACTCAGATCACTTGAGCCTTCAGGCGGTGTCTCGAAAGTTCTCTACATGTAGAGTTCTCGCTCAGCAGCCGTTTAGGTATTTGCAGAGCTGATCCTGGGTCAGCCGCTGTTCACGGGCAAAGATGGCATCGATCAGCTCGTGCCGCTGTCTTGCCAATTTCGCGTGCCAAGTCTGGTCCTGTTGCTTCGATTGCGCACAAATTCGGTGGAATGCCAGGTGCAGATCGTTAAAGTTCTTGGCACTCCGTCAACGCAGCAATTGCGCTGCCGCCCTGGCACAGCGTCGGTATACAGTAATATGATGTACAAAAACTCACAAAATTTAGCGAAGATCTGCGAAGTACCTAACAACGGCAACGCCTCTCCATGTCGTGACATGCCAACTAGTAACTAGACATGACCGCAACTGCGAGAGAAGAAGCGCCCAAGCTGCAAGGCGCAGTGAGGGTAATTCTTCATTCTGCTCTTCTTGCATTGCGTGCCTCTCTGACGTTTTCTGACAGAGGGCGCATTTGTGTCGGTCCTTTGGTCTGTGTTTGTTGTTGTTCTGGCGTGTCTGTTCACTTGCTTGGAGATACATAATATGGGATCCATTCGCTAACACTCTCAAGTTACGAAAGACGGTCGTCCCCTAACAAGGTTCGAACACACTTTACTACACTAAGCGCACTACTACAGATTGTGGCGACGGTAAGGTCGGAAAGACTGGATCATCGAAAATGTCATCGATTTTGTATCGAATCATCGCGTATGTCGTCGAATATGTCAGCGAATATGTCAATGAATATGCCGTCAAAGGTGCCCGCTGTCAGCTTTCGGACTCTTACTTTAAAACAGCTCGACAAGCACAACAACACGCGAAACAAATACAAAAACAAAGGCGTTTGCGAAAGAGCCAGACAAGCATTCCAACATTCAACGCACGACATTGCTTACACCTTCGCCCTGCAAGGAGTGGCGGGAGCCCCGCATCTCATTGAGCAGTGGGAACGAACAGGTGTCAGACCCGAAGTCTCAACCTGGAGACAGCCGACGCGTAAGTTGAGGAAGGGTTATACTGTGCAGATTGTGCAGGCTATGCAGTATAACTCTTATCAAGTAGCTCAAGAATGCTCTGCCGACAATACAATATTTCGACCAAATCAGCGCATGGAACAAAATGACATGGACAAACATTAAGATGGCTACAAGGAATCTAGGCGGGGCACTTACCCGCAAAACTGGCAGACAGGGCATAGTCCATTGAATGAAGAGGAACCAGATTGAGATTCTGGCTTCGCAGGAAAAAGGGTAAACCAGTTCAATGGAAGAGCATGATTGATACACTTTTTATTTTTCGTTGGGCACTTCTCATGAGACCAATGTATCTGCAGAACAAAAGAAAACAACATCTGAAATACAGCTTTACAATTTGGATGCCAGAAAACACGGAGTAGGATTGGTGTACAGTCATAAACTACGACCGTACAAGATCAACAGACAACAAATCAATGTCAGACTTCTACTAGCCACTTTTGATACACAACCACTCTGCAATAACATCATTGTTGCCCCCACACCCGCTCAGACCTCAAAAGGAGAAGGACGATTCTTACGCTAAATTAAATAACACACTAAGGCCAATCTGCTTTTGAATTTGACGAGTTCAATGCTGCGATCGAACGGTTGACATGCAACAAGAGTCCGGGGCCGGATGAGGTTACTGCAGAGCTGGTAAAATGGTTGACCCATGACAACAGACAAAATCTACTAGTTCACTTCGACGACATATAGCTTCATGGCAAATATCCTGAATCACTCAACCTGTCCAACATCGCATCCATCTATAAAAAGGGGATCCGGCGAAATTGGAGAGCTATCGGCCATTTGCACTTTTGCAGACTGTTTAAATAAACAGATGTTGGCAGCTCTCATCAGGAACCGTTTAGAATCTGCACTGGAGCCGTGGATGGCGAGAACCCAATATGGGCTTCCGAAAGAGAAAGTCTACATCGCAAGCCTCGTTTATTGCAAGAAGACTCATGGATATGGCAGAAATGCAAGGTACCAACCTGACGCTTGTATTATTAGACTGGGAAAGGCTTTTGACAAAGTAGACCAGGACAAACTCATTGAAGTACTATCTTGACCATGCATACCTCAACGCATTATCTGCCTTGTTCAAAACATCTATGAAAAAACTCAAATTCGGAGTCGTGAAAAGCAACGTCCGCTCCAACTATCAGACGCAAAGATCAGGAATACGACACGGCTGTCCACTATCACAATACCTCTTTGGATTTCTACTGACAACAGTCTTCCAAGACGTCAAATAGTTTTAAGCACACCAAAGCAGCTACAACCTATACCGTGCATTAACTATGCAGAGGTTCTGTATGCCGACGACACCTTCCTGCTCGGAAAATATACCGCAGAATCAGCTAGATAAACTATGAAGGGACGTATCAATCTTACCATTAACCGTGAAAATCCTCTATTAAATTTATGGATGAGTCGTCCGTTCCGAGGAACACCCAAGCAAAATATCTTGGAGCAACTCTAACAGACGCAGTAGACAACCATCAGGAAGTTATCCGAAGAATAGAGGAAGCTACGACAGTCTCTAAACTGCTAGGAACAATTCGCACAACAGTTCAATGGAAACTACGAGTGATGGAATCCATTTTTTTTTTAACAAATTGGTATACGAGCAAGACAAAATAGACGCATTTCAGCTAAAATGCTCCGGCGTGTGCTCAACCTAGCACCTCCTCACATTGACACAAGATGGACTAAGCAAAGAATGGTGGAATATGGTGGACACCTGGTGGCACACGCCAAAATACAAGTACATTAAACTATCAATCACATGGAAGCAGAAAAACTTACCTTGTTTTCGCCATGTCTTGAGAGCACCACATAACGACCCAATGCGGAAAATACTTTTTCAACCGGGGAAAAACACTCCTAGAAGCGAGCACATGCGTAGGGTCGTCAAAGCGAGGGCAAATTGGCTGTTGGATACCTTCGTACAAGCGTAGGCGCTCCTACACCCTATTACACCCTCCTGCACACTTCAACATATCCGACCCTGCGCAATGGAACGAAGTAGCAGACACGGATATGCGCCGAGACCCCTCTTTTAAAACAAAGATCAATGAAGCCTCTAAAGGAAGAGTCACCTGAGAATACTTAGCTGTACTTGCCTATATTACAATCAACAGGTCAACGAAGATTTCATCGAATACGCCGCCGAAGGGTCCAAAGAATAGTTTTAATGAGATGTCATTGTAATTGTCACAGAAGGCCTCACCCAACCTGTCACCGAATAGGTCATCGACATTGTCACCGAATCAAGGAATGCTTTTGTAAAGGACGCTGGTGAATAAATGAAACATGATACTTGCCCCAGATCCCTACAGAAAGTCTTACCATAATTAAAATCCTGAACCGCAACACCAACACCGATACCCTTGAATATAAGCGCCTGTGGGACACGTCAGCACTAATTACTCTACGCGGCAGTGGTGCAGCGTAGTGGCCTCCATTTTTTTACCATATTTTGTTTGCGCAGTCTTTCTCAGCCTCTGAGACCAGAGCGATGGCTGAATATTCTCCTGAGTTGAGCGGCGCTTAACGCCTTCTGGAGCTGCGTATCAGTGAGTGAGTGTGAGTGCTTGGAGGAGCAAAAACGGTGCAGCAGCTCCGAGATGTGGGATTGAATAGAATAGACCTTCAAGTTCTCTCTGACCGAATCTGAGCTTTATCGTAGACACATCCCTCCTACACGGAATATGCTTCAGTTCCTCCTACACGGAATATGCTTCAGTTCTGTCAGACACATCTTTCCGACGGAATCTCTGTCTCTATTCTAAGTTTTTTTGTCATAGCTGCTAAGCAAGAAGTGCCTATTGAAGAGTGACGGCTGCACACTGAAGCAAGAACTGCGTGACCTGCAACGACAGCAAAACATATAATGACATATATATGTATGTGTATATATATATATATAGATGTGTATATGAGTATGAGGCATGTGATTATGTGTGTACACACACACACACGCACGTGTAAGTATACGCGCACATACAATCAAGAGAGACAGCTCCAGACATAGAGAATTCAACAAAGAAAGAAGCATGCATTCAACTAGAGACAGAACGACAAAAACAAAGAAACAACTAAAACAAGAAAGAAACAAAGAAACCATGAAGCAACCACATAATGCTCGCTGCACGTGTCTCCCCCTGTGCTTTGGTGCATACTTTGAGTCATTTGCAGACCGTTTTGGATGTTTCTTAATTTGTTGCTTTCTTTGTTTCTTGTTCTTTGGTTCCTTTCTTTCTTTCGTTCTTTCCTTCGCTAAGCAGATTTGCACTATGTGCTGCAGATAGTAGGACGCAGGGAGTTGACAAAGACAGGAAGAGAAGGAAGACCAGCAAAACACAAAAAGCACAAAATCAAGGAGCGAAATAACACTCCACCCTTTTCTGACTTGATGACTAGGTGCGATGAACCCCAACTATCCTGAGTACGAGTTCACGCCTTCGTCATCGCGGCTTCATTGTTTCGGATGCAGTTTCGTTCTCATGACATGAGGGCTTGCTCGCGAGACACTTGCATTCCTGTGGCCTGCCAGGATCTCCCCGCATTCCTGGGAGAAGGCTGTCGACATCATGGCGCAAGCTCACGAACCGATACTGAAACTACAGGACTGCTTTAGTGAATTATTGTTCCAGTGACAACGTCAACAAACGAAAGCTCGACCGCAAGCCCCTGCGTCGAAGTCGTTCATGTTGTCAGAAGGCAGGATTTTACACGGGGCATCCTGAACATCTCGGGAGCCGGCTCAATACCGGAGTTTCGTGTGCAAAGCTTTGAACCCTGCAAAATCATCAGTTGCCGTCCGTTGAAGGAATTTCTTCCACCCGAGACAGATCTTTGATCACAACACTTTCGGATAGACATGCTGACACCTGCAGGTCTTGCGCGGTTGGGCCCCAGTGCACGCGTGCGATTTGGCCCGATTCTCACTATCGCGGGAATATCCTGTGTTTTCGTTTGAAGGTATACTAAGTAGTAATTTTTTGTTTAATAGTAATAGGCATGCAAGGGTCAACATGCGGCAGGTGAGCTTGATGCTGACGTACGACCCAGTCCAAGCCTTGTCTAGGTTTGATTTGAGATTTTGATGCATGCCGTGAAGCAAGGCTGCCCGCGCTCCGCTCAACTGGCGTTGTTTGGAAAGAATATCTTCCTACTTTAATTAATGCGTTGGTTGTGCATGCCCATGACACTGTTTGGGTTGACAGCTGTGTGATCTGAATCCACTTGATCGCCCAACCGCCAGGCCGCTTCATGTCCTGCTACATCCATTCTTTGCTGAGCTACCCTGCAGCAGCCCAGTGAAGGAGAACGGATTTGAAACGATGCTTCACGTTTGGGCACTCGAAGATCCGCGGTTTGGAATGAGTCGTGCTCCGAGGCTGAAATCAATAGAGAAGAAGGAGTGCTTCAGCTGCAAAGGTGCTGGAAAAAGACATGGGATACCCCGGTTTTTTGCAGCTGTCGCGAAGTGTGGAACGTGGGAACGTTGCCTGCCGGACCTGGGCCCAGGCAGTGCAAGATGCTCTTCAACTTCCGCGAGGACGTCCGCGTCTGCGGTTTTGCTCAGCGAGCTCAGCCCCTGGCAGGACGAGTTGTGGTGGCTCACTTCGGTGGAGAGGCAGCAACTCATCCCCAGCCTCGCGCTGAGAGGCCACAAGTTGACAAGGAGCCTGAACATCACAATAAAGCAGATGTGCAAGTGTGGTACCCCTAATTTGGTCACATGCGATGATTGTAGAGCAAGGTTGGGCAGCAGCGGAGGTAGCGCGGCGTGACTGACTGTCATGAAAAAGACGCTGGCATGATACTGTGTGCTTTGCGCATTTGAGAATGGTAACTGTGGAGAAAGAACTGGATCATTTGCGTGATGCGGCATGGATTACTGTAACTGAGCTTTCGGTACAGTGCAGGTTCCAGGTTCCATTGTCTTGCGTGGTCGGTATGGGAGCGTACGAGCTGGGGAAACATCCACGACTCGGTGATTGAATCTCAAGAGACGTTGTTACCTCAAGAGCCAAGTGTCCATGGCACAAGAGGCCTGGCCGTGGGTATAGCCGGTATAGTATAGCATGGCGTTCCATGCATGAATCACGACTCCTTTCAGGTGGATCATCTTTAGTACTGCGCCTGGCGCAGCCACTGCCAGGCCTTCGGCCAAGAAGCAACGGATGCTTGTGGGGAAAGGTGAGTGTTTCAGTCGCTGCACCACATTGATGCTCATGAAAATCCAGGGTCTACGGGCAGATGGTGCTAAACTGGAAGCCCAATTGGGTCGATGCGCGTTCTTAGTATTCAGAGGCGTTGGACAGTACTTGCAAGGCAGCATAAGCATGCTGGGTTGGCGGTGACACGTGACCGAGAGCATGGAGCCCATCAAAAAGCGATAGCACGCAGACCCCATGTGCCAGCTGCCTTCCAGGATGCCGCCGCCAAAGAAGCAGCCGGAAGCAAGTGTTGTCGGGCCATCAGAGTCAGAAGAAAGGGGGAGGATCCCAAATTCAGCTTGGTTTAGGTTGCGGTCTTTTGCGAGACCGTTGAGCTCAGGTGGACCTGCATGCCACCAATGTGCCGCTGAGTGCGCCAATCAATTACGTAGCCCCAAGGCCCGCTGTGCTTGAAACAGTCTTGTCACAAACTCTCCTCTTCACATGCTACCGGTTTCGGATTCTTGAGTTGGTCGCTCGAAATCAACAACACGAAGAAGTCGCGCGTGAAAAGATGCAGATCGAAACACTGCGTCAGAATCGAATCAAGTAAGATCCTAGCCTCTGGTTGTTGGAGGCTCGCACGGCGTAGGATCCCAAGATTTGGTTTCGAGGGAGCCCACCTTCAGAGGTGGACCCCTCTGGCAATCCTGACTCAACGATGCGAGACGAATCGGAGCTGGCTTTTCAGCCTCGGTGAACGGAGCGTCTGGCATGAACGCCTGATGATGGAGGCGCAGAGGAGGAAGGAAGGAAGGAAGGAA